ACAATGCCCGGCTATTTTTTTTGGTTGTAGCCATCATGGTTGTTTGGTGGGCACGGGCTGGATTCAAACCTGCCACCTTAGGTGTATGTGACTGGCGCCTTAGCCACTTGAGCCACAGGCGCCTAGACGAGGCTGAACTTTTATAGGAAAAATTTCTACTAGCCCAAGTCTGCTTAGGTACCATATACATTCACTAGCGTCTTCTCCATGTTCCAGACCAAGTAAGGACTAGTCTCACATATATATCTTTCTCCCACAGACTATGTAAAATTAATTATTTATTTTTGAGACAGAGTCTCAAGCTGTCACCCTGTGTAGAGTGCCATGGCATCACACAGCTCACAGCAACCTCAACTCTTGGGCTTAAGCGATCCTCTTGCCTTAGCCTCCCAAGTAGCTGGGACTACAGGCGACCATCACAATGTCCGGCTATTTTTTGGTTATAGCTGTCATTGTTGTTTGGTGGCCCAGGCTGGATTCGAACCTGCCAGCTCCAGTGTATGTGGCTGGAGCCCTAGTCACTTCAGCTACAGGCGCCAAGCCAAAATTATGTAAAATTATAAAAATAAGCTTTAAGACAATGTTAGATTTCCTTGTTTTTTATTGGGCATGTTGTCTCTTTTCTTCTTGGGTGATTCACTTTTCAGTGGTGAACCATGGGCAACCTGAGTAGACCTGACGTCCCACTTTTTAACAATTTGTCCTGTGTCCCACGGCATTTTAAAAAAGTCCTGATTTTTGGAAAGAATGCACTAACGGCAGGAGAATAGGAAGGGAATATACAGTCTTTGGCTGCCATGTGGCTATTTTGCCAGAATATGAGTTTTATATTATTTTTCTTAATTTTATAATGTTAAACTGTAATAATAACAAATAATTGTTGAGAAGTGATTATCAAAGTTTGCATTGTTGTCAGGCCCTGCCCTGCCCCGCCCTCCCACCCCCAGCATGTTGTCCCGCTTTACAAATGTTAAAATCTGGTCACCCTAAACTTGAGGGCAGAAGACAGCCCAATGCAAAGGGATCTGGTGGTGTTAGGCTCAAGAACAGTGAAGGTTTTTTTTCCTTTAATTTTTCTTTTTGGCCGGGGCTGGGTTTGAACTCACCACCTCCAGCATATGGGACTGGCACCCTACCCTTTTGAGTGACAGGTGCCACCCTCTTTAATTTTTTTTTAAGATTTATTTTTACTTTTTTTTTTTTTGAGATAGAGTCTCATGATGTCTCCCTGGGTAGGGCACTGTGGCGTCATAGCTCACAGCAACCTCAAACTCTTAGGCTTAAGTGTTTCTCTTGCCTTAGCCTCCCAAGTAGCTGGGACTACAGGAGCCCACCACAACGCATGGCTATTTTTTTGTTGTAGTTGTCATTGTTGTTTGGCAGGCCTGGGCTGGGTTCAAACATGCTGGCTTTGGTATATGTGGCTGGTGCCCTAGCAGCTGAGCTATAGGTGCCAAGCCCTGGCCATTTTTTTCGCTGTAGTTATCATTGTTGTTTGGCAGGCTGGGACCAGGTTCCAACCCACCAGCCCTGGTGTATGTGGTAGGCGCCCTGGCTGCTGAGCATAGTTGGTGAGCCATTATCTTCAAATTCTTTTTTTTTTTTTTTTTCAGACAGAGTCTCAAACTGTCACCCTGGGTAGAGTGCTGTGGCGTCACAGCTCACAGCAACCTCCAATTTTTGGGCTTAAGGGATTCTCTTGCCTCAGCCTCCCAAGTAGCTGGGACTACAGGCACTCACTGCAACATCCGGCTATTTTTTTTGTTGTTCTTGTTGCAGTTGTCATTGTTGGTTTAGCAGGCCCGGGCTGGGTTTAAACCAGCTAGTCTCAGTGTATGTGGCTGGCGCCCTACCCACTGAGCTATGGGTGCTGTCTATTTTACTTTATTTTATTTATTTATTTTTTTTGAGATAGAGTTTTAAGCTGTCATTCTGGGAAGAGTGCCATGGCATCACCATAGCTCACAGCAACCTCCAAGTCTTGGGCTGAAGCGATTCTCTTGCCTCAAGTTTTCTATTTTTACTAGAGATGGGGTCTTGTTGTGGCTCAGGCTGGTCTCAAACTTGTGAGCTCAAGCAATCCACCCGCCTTGGCCACTAACAGTGCCAGGATTACAGGCGTGAGCCACTATACCCAGCCAATTCAAGGAGTTTTAAAAGTGCAATGATCTAGTTCTTAATACACTTATTACTAATCTCACAATGAGGACAAGATCAGTGAACTATCTCAAAGAGACTGGAAACTGACAGAAGAGACTGTCACATTAGGAGATTCTTGTGATCATTACCTTTGCTGCATAACTCCACATTTCAATCCGGTCATTGAGGCGTTTTTTACACTCAGGTTGTAACCTCACCCGCTTATCCTCCAGTGCTTCCATGAGGCAGGACATTTCTGTGGTGAAAGCAGGTAAGAAGAGTTTGAAACTACAGATTAGAGAAATTTCTGTAAAATTGGGGAAGAGGTTATTCAATTACCAAAAAATTAGATCTGAAGGTTTAACAAAGTTAAATTCATTCTAGGAAATTTGACCCAAAATCCAACATTGAGAGAAATTATATTTAACCTCCAAGTTTGGCTGTGCAGAATCTCTCTTAAAATCTCTTACTGTTACTGGACACACCTGCTTCAGAAACAACTACACTTGTCCTAAATCCAGCCTCACAATGAACCTGTCTATGGAGACTATTGTGGCTAGTGGGCTGTGGATGAAACTGGTTAGGTAAGAGGAGAAAGAGGGCCATGAGGATGGCTTAACCTGTGCTTCCCTGATGAACAACTCGATTTTCCCTCTTGATCAAATCTTTAGCCCTGGTCATGAAAAGATCAGTTCAAACCAGCAGGATTATTACTAAATTCGCTGTGCCACAAAGGCCTAGTTTTAGTATCGATCAGTCCCCCAGGGGATGTTGTCTATAGCGGGGATATAGCCTCAGAGCAGAGTAGAAATCGCTGATGTCTGAGAGGGAGGTTTTGTTCCTCCCAAGATAGCTCAGACAGGGTCAGAAATGACTTACGACGTCCACGGCCGGGGGTGATGGCTGCACAGTGGTGTTTAATGTCCAAGGCACAAGCTGTATGAAGAACTGGGTCCACAAAGATGTCTGCTTTGCTTTCCTTCAGCATGTTTAACACTTCCTAGAAAGAGAGGTCATTGTGGAGCGAGATTTAGTAGAGGAAATGCATCAGTTCTGTTTTCTACAATACTTTACATATAAACAAGTTCAGGAGGGAAAAGTTGAGGGCTAATAATAGAGACTTCAGTGGTATACGTGGCAATGGGTGATGATGTACAAAATGCAGATTTTTAGCATTCAATTTTAATCCAATAGCTAACTTTTAGGGGATGCAAAGCTATGTGCTAAGGAAAGCAGGGGACTGTAAGTGATTATGTCAGGTTTATGTTTTTGGCATTCTAGTATATCACATTACTTTAAAATACCTAAAGACTGGCTAGGTGTGGTGGCTCATGCCTATAATCCTAACACTCTGGGAGGCCAAGGTGGGTGGATTCCCTGAGCTCAGGGATTCAAGACTAGCCTGAGCAAGAAAGACTCCATCTTTACTAAAAATAGAAAAAAGAGCTGGGTTTTGTGGCAGGCACTTGTAGTCCTAGCTACTCAGGAAGCTGAGGCAATAGGAATGCTTGAACCTAAGAGTTTGAGGTTGCTATAAGCTATAATACCGTGGCACTCTACCTAAGGCAGTGGAGTAAGACTGTTTCAAAATAACCTAAACAAACAAACCAACTTAAAAATTAGTATTTTTATGTGTATGATACAGTTATTTTAAGAAACCTGAAAAAAACTGAAATCTGAAAATCAGAGTAATATGCTACATTACAATCCCGAATGAGATAAAGATATATTTGTTTATAAAATGTTCTACTTGATCATCCTTAAAAACAAAAAAAGAATGAGCACAATCTAATTTCTACTGCAAGAATAATTCTTACTTGAGTTTAAAGATGTTCTGGATAAGAATATATGGACTCTCCTTTTATACACGATGAAACTGTAGGAAGTAAAGACAGGCCAGAAATGCTGTCTTTTTTTTTTTTTTAAAGAGACAGTCTCACTTTATCACCCTCAGTAGAGTGCAGTGGCGTCACAGCTGACAGCAACCTCCAACTCCTAGGCTTAGGCAATTCTCTTGCCTCAACCTCCCGAGTAGCCAGGACTACAGGCACCTGCCACAATGCCTGTTTATTTTTTTTTGCAGTTTTCTTTTTCTTTTTTTTTTGGCTGGGGCTTGGTTTGAACCAGCCACCTCCGGTACATGGAGCCAGTGCTCTACTCCTTTGGGCCACAGGCGCCACCCCAGAAATGCTGTTTTAAAGAAAAGTTAGTTTGCTCAACAGGAACACTGTAGTCCCTATAAAACAACACTAAAAAAACAAAAGCCAAATAAAACCCCAGTATTATTCTTTTTTTTTTTTTTTGAGACAGTATCAAAGCTGTTGCACTAGGTAGAGTTCTGTGGTGTTATAGCTCACAGCAACCTCTAACACTTGGGCTAAAGTGATCCTCTTGCCTCAGTTTTTCTATTTTTAGTAGAGACGGGGTCTCACTTTTGCTCAGGCTGGTCTCAAACTCTGGAGCTCAAGCAATCCACCTGTTTTGGCTTCCCAGAGTGCTAGAATTACAGGTGTGAGCCATCATGCTGGGCCCCTATATTATTTTTTTGAGACAGAGCCTCAAGCTATCCCCCTAGGTAGAGTGCTATGGCATCACAGTTCACAGCAACCTCCAACTCCTGGGTTCAAGTGACTCTCCTGCCTCAGCCTCCCAAGTAGCTGGGACCACAAGTGACCACCACAACGCCCGGCTATTTTTTGGTTGCAGCCATCATTGTTTAGCGGCCGGGGCTGGATTCGAACCTGCCACCTTAGGTGTATGTGGCTGGCGCCTTAACCACTTGAGCCACAGGTGCCGAGCCCCAATATTATTCTTAAATCCTCCCTCAAAGTTATATGGAATCATCTCATGATAAAGAAGTCAAAATACACAAAGTTATTAGCTTTTAACCAGCTTCTATCATTCCTCAGATCATGTGAAATCATAATCATTTTTAGCAAATGAAAAAAAACTTTTTTTTTTTTAAAGAGACAGAGTCTCACTTTATCGCCCTTAGTAGAGTGCTGGGTGTCACAGCTCACTGCAAACTCCAACTCCTGGGCTTAGGTGATTCTCTTGCCTCAGCCTCCCGAGTAGCTAGGACTACAAGTGCCTGCCACAACACCCAGCTATTTTGTTGTTGCAATTTGGCCAGAGCCTGGTTTGAACCGGTCACCCTCAGTATATGGGGCCAGAACCCTGCCCACTGAACCACAGGTGCCACCTAGCAAATGAAAATATTTATACACACTTACATTCTCGCTGATTATACGTCAATGAAATTCTTCTTAAAGAGATTAATTCTTTTTTTCTTAAGAGACAGAGTCTCACTTTGTCACCCTTGGTAGAGTGCTGTGATGTTGCAACCTCCAGCTCTTGGACTTAGGCACTTCTCTTGTCTCAGCCTCTTGAGTAGCTGGGACTATAGGCACTTGCCACAACATCCAGCTATTTTTTGTTTCAGTTTGGCTGGGGCCAGGTTCGAACCCGCCACCACTGGTATATGGGGCCGGTGCTCTACTCAGTGAGCTACAGGCACCGTCCGAGATTAATTCTTTAAAAAAGAGCAAATGTATGATTTCATTTTCAATTTGCAAGATAAAATATGCTTTTTGGTGATATTCTGATAAATGTTTTTTTTTTTTTTTTTTTTTTGAGACAG